GAAGAACAGTGTTGCTCTTTGTGACTGAATTACATAAAATTCTGGGGAACTCCGATTACAATTACTATTACAATAGGCTTCAGAGGTGATTATCATAGAAATTGATCCATAACGTAAAAAGACGGGAAACAAAATATATTAACCCCTTCACGACGGGCAGTGCAAATATGCATACTTCACGGACGCATCTCAGGGACGGGCAGTTCAAATGTACATTTTCAACTGGAACGTTTTTTAATGACCCCTAGATCGCACTCTGTGTCCATTATATTGAAATCGAACGTAGCTAGAGTAACCTGACCTTCAGTTAGTTTATATTCTGCTTATAGATTTGATATTTTCCACATCAGCTGAGTAGGGGGGGGGGAGGGGTAATTGAAAGGTCAACAAACAGAGCTCGGCTCATAAATTTTCCTCTTGAGATGAAACATTCGCGCTTCTTATAACTCATCGAATACTTTTTCTTATTTTTTTTACTACAGTGTGCGGTGTTTTAGAGTCAGTTCTGCTTAATATTTTGTTGTTTTCGGATATATTTCACGTACTTTTCTTATTTCAAAAACCTTGACTCCATGTTATTATTTGACAGTTGTTTCGAAGGCACTTTCCTAACCTTAATATGAACAAAAAGGGTGAAAAAAGCCAAAGTGTATAGTCACAAACCGTGTGTAAATAATTGAAAAAAAAAACGTAACATACATTTTATGCTTGCAAATCATACAATGTAGGATTTCGCGTTTCTCCATGCTTCGAGATTTTCTACACTCAATCTCCATTTTAATTTTGCTATTTATTTTTGTAAATAATCCTTGCCGTAATTTTTTTTATTAATTTGAAAGTGTATTCATTTTTTTTGTCAATGAAAATTTTGGAAAAAAATTAATAGTGCTTACGAAATTTATTTCCCAAGGTAAGTCATTATTTTTTATATCATTTCATGTAAGTTAAAGTAAAAACGTTATTACACTCTACTTTTAATGTAACTAACAACTTGTGTTATAATCTATAGGGGTACCAAAAATTACGACGTTTGGACTGAAGTTTTATTATTTATGCGTTTTTTTCTTAAGTCAGGCTTAGCGACAAAAACGCCCTGTCCTGAAGGGAGTAGTCCTTACGCATTCACCCCGTCCCTAGCGAGCGGCTCGCAGAAAATCGCCCCATCCTGAAAGGGTTAAAAGGAGAAGAAATGTTGGATGTAAAAAGAATACAGACTTCAATGAATCTAAATTAATTAGCCTCATACATTTACTAAATATTCTTTTTTGAATGTATTTAACGTATAAACCTATAACATTTTGAAGGGTAAATATTCCAGACATCTTAGATTTAAATATAATAATAAATGTTATGCCTTATGGTTAAAGAAATGGCAAGCATGTAAAAAAAAAATTTTATTAGATATAATATCATTTTTCCCAAATCCTTCAGATAATATCTAGGGTTCCCTTTTCAAAATAAAATACTTTCTATTTCCATCCCTAAAAATAAGAGAAATGATAAATTACATAAAACACTTAATCAATCACTGTCAAAGATTAAAAATTATTGTATTCTTTTCTTCTCAATTTATTGCTTATAAGAAGGGAAGATTATAAATTAGTAACGTTTCTTTCCTTTTCCTCTAACATCAGATGAATCCAAGTAAAAAGTACTAACAGCATTTGGCATAAATATTCTTCATAGGAATCTTCAAAAGATATTAATTCCGGTTCTCTTGGCGCTCTGCCAATCGTAAAGCATGTAATTCCATGCCAAATTCTTCACTGTCTGAAATATTGATTTAAATGTCAGACCATGCATATTTGCTCTGAATGAAATATTACAAGGAATCGAATGAATATTACATCTTATGTAAGATTATGGCCGCTGATTTATTCGCTTCTTATTTGGCATACTTTAAAGTTTTAAAACTCTTTGGGTTACAGAAAATCTGACTTAGTATGTTTGCGTAAGGGAGATTCCTTTGCAAATAACACGAGATTAATTATTGCTGAATCTTAGTTTAATTTTTATGTAGAAGTAGTAAAAAGTATTTGGCGAGAGATTTTGTGTAAAAAATGCGTGAGATATTATTATGCATACATTTGTTATAATGATTTAAAAAATACAAAAAAATGAATATACATCTACAAAACTTTAAATAATTATAAAAATAAATGTAATCTTTAACTGCATCTTTGGACAGTACATGCGACTTCCCACTAAGTTTAATAAAGACCTTTAAAAATTTTTTTTAAATTTTCACAAATTGATTTGAAAAAATAAGAATAAAATAGGTTTCAAAAATTGAAGTGTACCAGTTTTTAAGAAGAAAAAAAATGAAATAAATATGGAGGAAGAGGGGAACGTGAATCACACACTTAAGTGGAAAACTAGGAAAAATTTTGGACACAGTCATAATTACAAAATATGGATATATTTTTATAAAATATTTAACAGAATTTATATAATTTTGGTATGGCCAATACCATTTACTTTATTTTGAATTTCCTAAAGAAAGATAATGTAAACGCAGTATCACTCTCTAAAACCTTAAAGTGTTAAAATAAAGTCGATGAAAATATTAATGGTAATTCTTTATATTATTGATGGAAGTTTTAATACTTTAAAAATAAAATAAAGATCGGACAGTAATATACAGACATATTCATAACTAATTCAAAAAAGTTAACACTTTTAACATACAAGTTTTTGCTGTGTTGTTTGATATTTTTTGATACTTTTGAACACTTAAAAGCATGCTGTAATTAATATTTAGGAAATTGTCACTGTACAGTTCGATTACAATTACTGTACCTAGCGATTGACTTACACAGGTAGATAGATAGATATTACGTTTTACCAGTGGCGTAACGTACTCCCAAGGCCTGACTGACGTCAAGTACGTATTTAACCAATTTATAAATTATTAAATACAAAACACATTACTTTGCGGGAGACGGGGCTAATATACTCTATCACGCCATTGTATTTTTCATTCGTAGTTGTGTACGAAAGGGGTTTTTTTGTGCCCAAATAAACAATGTAAAAAGTTACAATTTAGGCACCATATCTAAAAATTTGAAAAATCTCTTCTTACTGGCATTTATTTTGAATGAGCACATTTTTATCTGTATATCTATAAGAAAATAGATTTCTAATACCAACTCCGCCAAAATGCTTTTCTTAGCTGAATAATAGATGTAGTAATTTCATACAGTGATTTATATATTACTCGCATTCTCATTAAACAAAACAAAACAAAAAAAAAATTAAATTAGGAGCCAAGGGGTAACTTTGAGGTATTACAGCTTTTGAAAAATTATTCATAATCCATTTTATAATTTTAATTACGTTTCTCTTTCCAATATCCCATTTCTGAATTATTTTTTTATAATTTGGTAATGCACATATGAATATTTCGTAAAGTGAAATTAATTTCAGAGCCACCTGCATGGTTTCAAGGGTTTCTTTTGAAATATTTTTTTTTAAAGCAAAATCTCTAGAATTTGAAGATTTTTTTTTATTTTTCATTTAGTGATTAAACAAGTATTTTCTTAGAATACTGTTTCTAATTTCCTCTGTCGAATTAACTGGAAGAAAAAAGACTTCAATGATTTTGAAAAAAGTGCTCAGTTGTCATAAACAGTAATTAAATTCTGTATTCAAGTTAGATTCTAATTCAGAAAGCATACTAGTTCATATAAGAACTGCTGTGAAAATCAGTTAGGGAAACTAATAACCTAACATATACTGTAGCAGTTTGTCTGCATTCCATATACGTTTTTCACAAATCAGTAAACTGAATTTATTGTTGTGCGCGAACTCCTTTTTTATACTTCGTATTCTGCATAAAACCAGACTGAAGGAAATACTTTTCTTATGAAGCATAAGGCTCCAAGCAATAAAATAAAAATTTCTTTAGCAAAGAAATTGGTTTGGAAAAAAACACAAATTGAAAAGATAAAAAGTGATTCGAAATTACTCTTTATTTTCAGATTCATGGCACAATGCGCGAAGATTTCGAGTTTGAATTTTTCTTCTTGATTGAATTCGAGTTCACAAAAGAACACGGAATTACATCGAACTTTTTTAAGGCATTAACGCACCATTACACTAAAGTATTTTGTTTAAATTTTATAATAACTAGGAAAATTTAAATAAACTGAAATTAGATAACAATAACGTGTTTATGGTATTTAAACTGATTTATAAACGTCTTAATAAAGTAGAAAATAAAATAAATAGCAATTATTACTTACAGTGCAATTTTTTTGTATGTAAAAAAAGTTTCAAAACATTTTTACAGTAAACCTGTGAATTTTTATTTTATTTTTTTTCAATTCCTCTATTATTAGTACACTCTTTTCCTATATATATATGTAATAATTCCCTCTAGCATCCTTTTAATTAACTCTTTTAATAATATTTAAACAAGCTTTAATTCGTTGGTTCAAAACTAACGCCCTAATCTTAAACGTAATGAACTAGTATCAGAAAACCCTTTCCCGCACATTTTAACCAATCATAGCTCTTATTACAAAATAACCACGCGGTCTTCACTGCTGGGTATAAAAAGCAAAAATCTTTTGTGATCTCTCCCTTTGTGTTCGTCACGTGAAATGTCTCTGCTTCTTGTCGCTTCTGATATATGTGTCTGCTTTCGAGTTCTTACTAGATATCTGTGAAATACAATTGTGAATTCTCCACCTACGTTATATGTGTGTGTAAATAAACAAGTTGAAATTAAATTCTGAAGATGATTTCTCTGAAATCAAATACGCCAACAAACCAAACAGATCAACCCGGCCATATATATATATATATATATATCTTGTTCAAATTTTCAATCGTTAATAAAATACTTTCTATTTATCCACTCTAGTTCAAATACATTTTTTTAAACTTGTAGTGAATGACACTTGATGTTAATGCAGCTTTTCAAATACTAATTCATTATTTTTTGAATAATTAATGAATAAATTGCAACAAACAAAAATAACACAGTCGAACACCATCTCTGTGTAGAGTAATGGATAGCGCTTTGGACTTCTAATCCAAAAGTCATTAGTTTGAATCTCAACTCAGATGGCCTAATTTCTAAGAATGTGATTTGTTTTACTGTACAATTTTATTGGAATAATTAAATTTATTTAATAAATAAATAGTAACAAAAAATAGTCCAACACCCAAAATAGAATGGACAAAGGAAAAATTGCAAGGAAAATCGATTTCTATTTTGTCACTTAATATTATGTGATTCTGTCATACATATATTTATGTGAATTGTAATTATTTAATAAAAAGTAACTGAAATAAAATTCTTCTTTATTGACCTAAGTAGGATTTTTTTTGACTGATTTTTTTTCTTTTGTATTACTTGTTATTTTACTAGCTCGGGCTTATGGGAAACTTCAACTTTCGAAAATGTTTCATATTTACATAATAACTGCATTTTTACTTATACACACGCACACACATATATGAATATATATATAACTAGATATCCTTAACTTTATAATTAGTTGTTTGATAATACAGTCATGGGATATGTGTGTACTTACTTGGACATCCTGCATTGCTTGGACCTAAGGCGGCGGTTTTGTCATCAGGACAGCAACCGTATGTTGAATCGGCACATGTTTTAATCATGGTAACTGTAACGAAAGAAACAATAAACATGACTTAATTACTGCCATAGCTATTTAAAAAAACACCAAATTTGTTTTTGAAAACTGAAGAGAAATTTACAAAGATATCGGGTAACAACTTAACATTGAAAAAGTAAAAATAAATTTTAAAAGTTTTTTTCAGGTTCTTACTCAACCTCTTTTACTATATAGTTACAGATATTTATTTGCTATTCGGGTCAAACAAAATATCAGTTCCTCTTGGAGGCAGGCCCCGTACATGATGGGGTACGTTTCCTTCATACCACATGAAGGAAACCGTCCTAGAGATGCTTTGCTTGGTACAAGAAGTAGGAGAGATGAAACTACTCTTGCTAGTCTTCACAGTGGACATAATCGAGCTCAACGGCATGTGGCTGGTCTCAAAGTTTACCCTCCTTGTCTGAATCTCATTGTGACCCAAGCCGCTCCTACCTACATCTTGGCTTGTTTTAGTTGCCATGAGAGCCAGCTGCTCTCAAGTCCTGATACAGTTCTTGATTGTTTAAAAATTTCACGGGTTCATGGACTTGATTTAGATGTTTCTGTCGATCAAGTGGGATAAGAAACAACACCACCACCAATATTTACGTAATGTATATATCTCATTAGTGATGAAATCTCTATGTAAAGTTTCTGAATTTTTGCTGAAAGTAATTCTCACCAAAAGTTTATAAGTATTCCAACAATTTATAATCATTATTAAGTATATATATATATATATATATATATATATATATATATATATATATATATAAATTATTCAAGTATCCTGTGACATCTCTCGAGTTCTTCTTCTAACATAACTCCTACGTTCTTTGACGGCCACGATTAATTGCAATCTTAGAGAAAGCTTAATGTGGAAAGTTGAAAGTGAGTTTAGACGGCCTACTCAAGAATCACGGAGACGCCCACCCTCGCTAGTATTTACAAGGAGTAACTGCATTGCACACGAGCATATAAGTCTACCTGAAGTATCAGAATCGTTGAGTCTTCAACCAAGGTAGGAGGATTATATTCTGAACGCTAATTTAATATTGAAGCGAGATTAGGCAGATAATTAGTTTCATTTTGATAAGTGTTCTAATTGCGCGATCTGACTTAGTTAAACGGCCGTACTTTGGTTTATTCTCACTTAATATAAGTTTGTTCGTTATATAAGTAATTTAAGTTAAATTCTTAATAAAAGTCGTATTAAGAATTATAGAATGTCTCATCCTTCCGATAATCCCACACCTCTAACTTACGCGGAACCCCCACTACATAGCTATCGACAGATGGCTATGTCACAATCCTTTTTATTAAATCTTTGTACTAATATTTAAAATAACTTTTAATTCTTTAGTTTAAAAATAACATTGTAATCTTAATCGTAATCGGCTGGTCCGAAATCCCTGTCCCGCATATTCTATCCAATCAGAACTACTATGTAGCTGGGGTGGGTTGGTGGAGCACATAGCCCTTCAGGGCATTAATCTCCTATATCTTACTTTTTTAGACTTGAAATAGCGACTATAATAACCACTATCGGTATAAAAGCAAAAATCTTGTGTAATCTCTGTTTTTTTTTGTCTGCTTGCCTTCATCATGTAAATCAGCCGGCTGCCTTGCGTTCTGTGTTTGTCTTTGTCTGTGTTTGTGCCATGATGTTTGCTTCTTGTTATGTGTAATGCCGTCCCTACTTGATCTTTATGTGTTTCCAGATGTGAATAAACTGGATTTTTGATTTACATGAGTGCCTCTTCGATAATACAGTACCCGCCACGTAACACAGGAAAATCACAACACCGGCCACACCCTATCCTTTGGTTCGCTACAGTAATAATATTCACTCGCCACGTATTACAACAATTATTTATATGATGAATTGTATATTCTTATTATATATGAATATATATATAATCTGGATAATAATTGAGCTAGTTAAGCCGAGTTTCTTTTATTAATTACCTAAGCACTTTTTATTTGAGTTTAAAAAGAAGGTCTAAACAATAAAGTTTTGCAAATGTTATATTAATTGTGAAAGTTAATGCTATTCGTAGGACTTTTATTCGATCAACCGGAAAAAATTCTATGAATAGAAATTATTTAAATAAACAATGCAGATGACAAATAATTGCCAGGTAGGTACAAACGCAGCAAATACACACAAATGCATAATGTTTTATTATTAGTTTCTATTATTTATTCTTCCTGGGTTTGTGTGTGCTTACAACTGTCATTACAAAAAAAACCTTTTCATTCGTACAATGAATTATGTAAAAATTAATTCTGTTTTTACCTTTATATCATCTGGTTTATACTTCTATTTAAAAAAAACATAATGTATATTTTTTGTTTGAAATAGTAAATCACACCATTCTGAAGCACATTAACTTTAGCTAGATGAAGAATAAAGAACAGAGAAGAAAGAGATATTCGAACAAAAACTAAAATTGATCTTCAAACAAAATGGAGTCTTTTATTCTTAGCAAATTATATTAATTTGCTGTAAATGAAACGTTCATAAATCTTAGAACAAAACACCCATAAAGGGAAGAAATACGATTTAAATTCTTTATATCTTCTTCAAAAGAGAAATACATTTTCTCATTCGGTTTTAAACAGATCTATTTAAGAAAAGGCACTTTAAGTAATTGCAATCACTGTGCTAGCGGTTTAAGAACAAAACTAATAAGAGATTGGAGGTATTAAGGATTTTTAAATATTTTTAAAAGCAAAATGGTACATGTCTGATAGTTTATTCCTCTAAGAATAATACACAAAGCTATGCTATATATTAGGGATTAAAGTATATTATTGATTTGAATAATATTTGATGCGCGAAGTATATATTGTTATGAAAAAATTGGATTTTCTATTCTTACGTGCAGAAAGAGCTGAAAGTTTTGCTCCCAGGAAAAGATAAAGAACTCTTATAAAAGTTTTATGTTATTGACCTTAGCGTAGAATTTAGTCGTCAAATGTGTGTATCAAAATCATCTCGCGTGGTGACTAAAAATAATATGAAAATAATGCTCTAATTAAATCTAGAAAATATCAAAGTAGTCCTTGAAAAAAGACAGCTTAAAAGATTATTTTCGACTTATAAAAGGACGATTTAGTGAAGCAAAATTTTAGGTCAAAGCTGGACAGTGACTTGCGTTTCATTTACTTCTAGAGATATATAGGGACTACGGATCTATATTATTATGCTCTATAAATATAAGAATTTTGAATCTCTATGTTCCTGTGTTAATAGGTTCATATTAATTGTTTCCTGCTAAAGGTAAATCTGATGCATTTATAGGCAGTTTCAGAGTAAATTTCGATTTATTTCAAAAGAACCTACTATTTAATTAGCTATTTAATTTCAAAAATGTGGATTTTTCTTCTATTCGAAAGTCAAATAACGACATAAAAAGACTATATATATATTTCACCGTATCAACTAATTATTTTCAAGAGTCTTACAAATTTTTAATTACTAAGAATTAATCATTGAAAAATTACAAGCTGCATTTAATTTTCAAAACATTTTTCTAATATGAATGCTATAAAATTTATGAAATCTCAGGAGTATTATTACAAAATTTATTTTAATTACTATTCAAAGCAAAATGGTCAAATATTTTCTTTCCTGCAACCATCTTAAATATTCATTAAAGTATTATAGGGGTAAAAGTGTTTTATATTTAGATAAGATAAATGTTAATATTTATATTGTAGACCCTAGGGACTTTTTAGGAGCATGTGAAAGCGTCAGGTTTGGCATAAAATTTTTCAGTTATATATTCTGATACCGTTCTTGAACAAAAATTGAGAGTCGTTTTATTATTATAATCGATGTAATATTGCAAACTCTTTTATTATTATAAATAATATATTATTGCAGGAAATTTTTATCATATTCATCCAATGCAGATAAATAATTTGCATTTAATGCTCTAGAGGATATTCAATAATTTCAATCTTATTTCCTAGCAGTGAAATGAAGAATATTACACGTGGCATATTAATAAATATTGAGGTAAGGAACATCAATGGATATTTAATGTGTTCATTTAATATTTAAATTTACGTGTATCTTTTAGTATTCTAGTTCTTTAATAGATATTATAAATTATAAATAATCTGGTATTTGCATTGCAATACATTTTTTACATTATTTATTCATATAATGTGCACTTTTCGAGAAATGGATTCCAGTAATCCTCGAATTACCTGGAAAGTGGGATGTTCAAAATAAATAAATCAATATGGAAATATGTACGTTGTGTTTCTAATGAAACTAAAAAAGGTGCACTTAATGCTGTAAAATCAATACGAAAATAAGTATGCCCAACTCTTTTTTACACGGTACGTACGTTTCTTAGAATACCGTGCAAAAAAAAGGGTAAAAAATTATATGAGACGTTGGGATAAAGATGCAAAGTTTGGGAT